ACACACACACACACACACACACACACACACACACACACACACACACAGTTTTTAAATCAAGGACCAGCTGTGCACTGCCGTAAAGAAATCTCAGTTCTCAGAAACAGAGGCAAATGACATCAACAGTAATTACTCTTATGCCAGCCTTACCAGTATAAGAGCTTTCCATTCATTGTCTAACTGATGTCCTCATGACCACTCCATTCCATAAGTGATGAAGCTAAGTCTTAGAACTCTTCGGTAATTTGCTGGAAGGCACAGGCTGGAAAAATAAGACAAAGGGGCAGGACTGTGTGTTTTTTCCATGATTTTCTTTCCATAATTGAAATATGACTCTACTGTACTATCCACACTGTCTCCTCTCATATCACTCCCAAGGAACCTATTCAAAGGCCTTGAGTCAGCTCTAGAATGGTCTATATTATTCGAAGTTCACACTCAAATTACTTAGTCGTTCAAGGTAAAGATCAAATATAAAATAACAGTACTTATCTACGCCATTCATTGAGTATTTTTGTTTCCGTTGAATATGTGAGCCTCCATTTATACATTTCAGTTATACTGCAAGTGAGGCAGGGGGCAGAGAAAAAAACCCAGCGTCAATAAGCAGAAACAGCATACCCAAATCCCCACCTTAAGTTAAGGCAAGTTGCAACACTATGACTTCCTTCTGGCCTGGCACTTGGATGGTCTTTCTCAAGAGCTCCTAGCTCCCTCTAATTCTAAATCTAGCTCCCTTTAAGGCAGAAGAAAAAAAATGGCTTGCTTTCTGTCTTCCTCCACAGAGAATTTATGCCACCAATTTCAGAAATGCTTGAGCTGGCCTCATACACTGCCTGTGGGACAGGTTGCCCCGACCTCAAGGAGGCTGTGCTGAAGATTAGCGCTGTTTCTATTTCTGTACTGCAATTTGTAAAAATCTCTGCACTGTGCTTGAAAGGAAAATTAAAAAAAAAAAAGCAAAACAAACAAAAAAAAACCCAGATTTCTTGATAAAGGCAAAAGGCTTCATTCCTCCCACAGAGGCAAAATGGCATCTAGCAAAGCAGCCTATGGACATGTCTGTAGAACAAAATGCTGCAAGCCCACAGCTGAACTAAGTGGTGGACTGGATGGCAGAAAAGGAGGTGAGGGTTATAAAGGGCCCCCATTTAGTCTCTTTAGCTGAGGTTCTCCCTCCATTTAGAATATCTGCTCTGTTTCTGCCACAGAGAGGGGTGTTTTTACAATGTGTAAGTGGTTATGTCACAAATGACTAGTTATTTATTAAACACTGTGTCAATTCTAACATTTTTTTCTCCACCCCTTCCCCCTCACAATGTAGACATTTTTTTCTTTTTTCCCTTAACTGTTCTTCATGCAAACCTCCAATCCACCCACCATCGCACACGCACATGTGCACACACGCACACAAACACGCACACATTTGATTAAAAAAAAAAGCAATATCTATAAAGTGAATACACTGATTATAAGTTCTGGTGGGTCCATTCTCTGGTTCTAGTATTCTGTTCAAATATTCAGGTAAATACCCAAACATTGTCCATGAAATGGCATTTCAGGTACTGTTTGTTAACAGTATGCTAATTTCAAATTGTGCATGTGTGTTTCTGCATCTCTCTGTCTCTCTCTGTCCCCCCCCCTCTCTCTCTCTCTCTCTCTGTGTGTGTGTGTGTGTGTGTGTGTGTGTGTATGTGTGTGTGTGTTTTGAGACAGGGCTTCTGATCAGTGTTGGCCTCCAAATCCAGTTGTAGCCAAAGATGATCCTGAACTTCCAATCCTCCTGCATCTGTCTGCCAATTACTGGAATTACAGGCTTGCACCACCAAGCCCAGTTTCTTTGGTGCTGGGTGTGAAACCCAAGGGCTTCTCCATGGTATGCAAGCACTGTGCTAAATTCCATTTTATCCACAAATAGCTTGTTTTGTTGGTGAGGGGTGTTGAGTTGTTGGATAATAGGAAAATTATTTTTTTTCCCCAGGAGCACTCCGACATCCTCAAGAAATCTGCACTGCCTTTTCCCATTGTTGTTGCAATCGTCATTCTCTTTATTGGCTGTCAGTGCCGTAGCGTCTGGCTAGTCAGTTACCTCTTCTCCATGTGTCACTTTTCTCTCTCCATGTTAAGGTGGTGAGAGCAATTTAGCCTCTAAATAACTGAGGTTTCAACCTCATGGAACTTCAAGTTAGTGCCATTCTCACCTCAGTAGAAGCATCCCATCTGACATCAAGAAAATCCAAGGAGGTGTTAAATTTGCTTTGTGGCTGCAACTCTCTTTCAGTTTGGCAAGACTAGCTCAGGATTTGATGCATTTATATATTTTACTATTATGAGTGTACAAAATACCTCACCTTCTTAATCTGCACTGTCTGTCAATCACTAAAATGGCTCCTTCCCAGCTGTGTTGCTAATGAGACCCGTGCTTGCTGTTGTTTGTCTACATAACACATGCCCCTATTTCACTTGATTCACACCACTTGGTTCAAGAGAATGAGATGCATGTGGTGGGATGGGGGTGCTTCCCATGGTGCTTGGAAAAAAGTGATGAGAGAAAATGAAACTTATTCTCATTCTTTTCCAATATGTCAGATTGATTCACATCAACCTCCCTGTGTCTCAATCCAAGTCATTCTATCTCTTGGGACTGAGTGTGCAGTCAAATTCATGATAATTTTAGTGCATATCTCATAAGGTCACTTTGGAGACCAAGTGAGTAAAGAGCCTAGAGCAACTCTCAGCAAGTGCAAATATCTCAATTACCACCGATTATGCCAATTAATGGTTCTTCCTGGCTAAACTGGCCTTTAAGATTTCCATTTCAAATGACTATTTTCTTTACTTTTTAATTAAAATTTTATTTTTATATTAATTACAGTTTATTCACTTTGTATTCCAGATGTAGCCCCCCTACCATGTTCTCTCCTAATTCCACCCTCCTAACCTTATCTCCTTCCGCCCCTCTCCACTGATAAGGGAGGTCCTCCTCCCTTTCCATCTGACCCTAGCTTATCAGGTCTCATCAGGACTGGCTGCATTGTCTTCCTCTGTGGTCTGGAAAGGCTGCATCCCCCTGGGGGATGTTGTCAAAGAGCCAGCCACTGAGTTAATGTCAGAGACAATTCCTGTTCCCCTTACTAGGAAACTCACTTGGATACTGAGTTGCCACGGTCTACATCTGTGCAGGGGTTCTAGATTATCTCCAAGCATGGTCCTTGGTTGGAGTATCAGTCTCAGAAAAGACCGCTGTGCCCATATATTTCCGTCTGTTGTTCTCCTTGTGGAGCTCCTGCTCCCTCCAGGTCTTACTATTTCCTCCTCCTTTCCCAAGATTCCCTGCACTTTGCCCAAACTTTGGTTATGAGTCTCAGCATCTGCTTTGATACACTGCTGGGTAGAGTCTTTTAGAGGCCCTCTGTGGTAGGCTCCTGTCCTGTTTCTTGTTTTCTCCTTCTTCCAATGCCCATTCTGCTTGTTTTTCTGAGTGAGGATTGATCATCTTACCCAGAGTCCTCTTTCTTGCTTAGCTTCTTTAAGTGTACAGATTTTAGTATGTTTATCCTATATTATGTCTAGTATCCACTTGAGTTGGCTCAGCTGTTAAAGGCTAGGCTCACAACCAAGACTGTATTTTTTGGTAATCTCTTTTTACGAAGGGATCTGGAATCACACTAGACACAGTATTATATTATTCACATCTTAAAGTCCTTAGAGGGGAAGGAATTGATTGAAACCGCCTGTTTTCCTGTTTATGCACCTACTGAGCAAATATTTATTGGTACTCTTTGCATGCCAGGTACCATATGCCAGGTGATGGCAACATAATGGTGGCCAAAATCCTTGATTAATAGAATCAGCACTCTAGAAGTGGGGGAGGAAGAGAGGAAGCGAGATAGTCAAGAAATGAGCCAGACACTGTCGAACTTGATGGCATTAAGAGATAGAACGTGTGGCTGGTTTTAGGGAATATGATGAGAGTGAGATTAAGATGAGATGAGTTTACAGAGAAAGGCAGGGAACAGATCATTCTAGCTTTGCAGTATGTCTTTATCCTTAGAATAGTGCAATGTAAAATGGATTTGAAATAAAGAATCAATATCAATGTTTTGAGTGTTAAAGTCTGTGCTGATTGTTGTTTGGAGTTGAGATTGTAAGACTATTGCACTGTGACATAAAGATGCTCCTTATTCATATTGAAAACGGAAGTGTTAAGGTGATCTCTGTTAGTCAGTGCTAAATCACATTAAGTCCTGCCATAGGGCAATCATCAAAATGATGATGCAAAGGACTTTGGACCATGTGCACCCACATTCTTCTCACTTGTGCATTTCTTGTCACTGGAATACATGTATCATCAAAGCATTTTGCACCCCTTTGTTTTACTTCCTCTCTAGATGAAGCAACTGTGGATGGGAAGAATAGGACTTCATCTTGGTAGAGCAATGGGTAGTGAAAGAAAAAAGTGACTCAGGACTGAGGCAGGACCATTGAATGTGCCCATGAGTATGTATATTTATTTGTATGAACTTTCCCAAGACTGCTCAAGGCAGTGCACACTGGGGCACACTTTTATGTAGGAGCTGAATCTCATCTGCAGCTCTTAGACTTAGAGCCAAGAAATTCAGAGTGTCTGTATCCATCTGCACAATATTATGTAAGTTAGTATGTGTCTGTGATATAAATGGCACACCCATAATTATTATGGTGCCCTGAACATCCATACAGGGCAACCTAAAAAAAGAGTGGAAATGAATAGAAGGACATTGCACTGGTCCAAGACAAAAATGCTAGTGGCCCATACTAGGTTATAGCTGGGGAGGTGGTTAAAGGGGCCATTACTGGGATCTGTTTTGAATGTAGTCAACAGGATTACCTGGGGTCTAGAATGTGATGTGAAAAGGAATAAAACCGAGAACAACTGGGAGTTTGAGCCAAGAAAGCAGATGAGAAGAATGCATGTAGAAAATTCCTTCACAAGTCCTGCTATGAGCAAGTTACGATGTAAGCTGTCCATTTAAATAGCAAGCTAACCAATCTCTATATTGTAAGCTCCTCATTAGGAAAGTTACTCTTCACTGAGGACCTCAAAGCATCTATTCAAGAGACCACTGGGAAATTAATTTTTTTTGATATTTATATACTTATCTTTGTCTCAGATGTCTTTTTCCTATTCCTATTTGACCCAAGGTAAAATATTTTCAGCCTGTTCCTCCTATTGATTTCTCCAGGTTTCTCATTTATGGCATCCTGATACATTTCTCTCTC